AAAAAAAAAAGTTTAGGCGTGAGGTGGTGGGGCGGTGGGTGAGGTGGTGGGTGCAGGATAGGTCTACCCGCCGCTATAGGCCTAATTTTCCCCTGTATTTCAGTGGCCGCAGCAGCAGCAGCAGCAGTCGGGGCGGCGGCAGGTCCACCACCAGCGCTGCTGACGGCGGCGGCGGTGGGGGGGCGGCGCCCCCCTCGCACCCCTCCGTCGTGCAGATGCCGGGGCCCCAACACCACCAGGTGGGGGGGAATTGATATTAAAATGGTATATTATTATATTATTTTAATGTTATATTATTATAATAATATATTATATATATTAACGATATATATTAAAAAAATATACATATAGGTATATATTTTATATTATATATATTATATTATAATATATAATAAATATATATATTTATATAATAATATATATTGGCTGTGGTTATATCGGTTTGTTATAGCATTTGAATTAAATAGTATACCTATATTATTTCCCTTATTTTATATCATTAGATATATCGTTTTAATTTGATAATTGATATTAGATAATTTATATTGAGTCATTGTAATATAACGTTCTCACTATATGTATATATAAGTCATTATACATATATACTTAACTATATATACATCACTAAATATGTACAATTCACCATATCTATTCTTCACTATATATCTATACTTATGTACTATACCTAATACATTATAGTAGTATATGACAGTACAATTTAATGTGTTTAATTAGAAATAATTATAATTATATTTATGATACTATAATTATTATTATTATAATTATAAAATTTTCAATTATAATTACGGTATATATAATATTAAAATATAATTATTATTATCTTATCATAATAATTAGAAATAATTATTTAATTATTATAAATAATTAATATTAATTATTTAAATTAATAATTAATGTAATTTAATTCTAGACTCTTATAATAATTGTTATCTTCCAGGGGGGTCGGGACCGCGGCGGGAGCTCTGCCAGCGGCGGTGGCGGCGGCGGGGAGATGCGGTGGCGGGACCGCCACTACTCCGGGCCCCGCAAGTGGCTGAGCAGCGCCCTCATGAGCGTCAGGGTGGCCCACCACCACACCAGTGGGCCCCACCACCACCCCACCGCCCCCGACCAGCAAGGTGAGTACTGCTGGGCCCACCACCACCACACCAGTGGGCCCCACCACCACCCCACCGCCCCCGACCAGCAAGGTGAGTACTGCTGGGCCCCACCACCACCACCACACCAGCGGGCCCCACCACCACCCTGTCTCTTATACACATCTAGATGTGTATAAGAGACAGGTGGGGCGGTGGGTGAGGTGAGTGGGGCGGTGGGTGAGG